ATGGAGTAAGGCTTGACATTCGATTTAGTAGCCCTAGTGCCTTCTCTCACAAAAACTACTGATCGTTCGTTTGTGGTTATTTCCCTTTGCGCTCTGGCTACCGAAAGACTAACCGCTTCACGTATGATTTCTAGAATCCTATCGTGACCACGCGAGTATTGACCGTGTCCAGGATTGCCTTACATCCCACCAGCAGATGCTTAGCTGTTCCAACTGAATTTCCACAGATATAGCAAGTTTTTTCGGTACCTTTACCCCATCTTACTAAATTACTCTGATCTAGGAGAGTCATCTGGAACGCAATGAGATAGAATTTTAGCAATGAATTATGCCCATTAATTTTTATTTTCAATTTCATAAAACTTATTTGTATTATCACAACATGACACGAGGTAGCAATATTGCAATCTAATTGTCGGCAAAAAGGGAAGCCCTGTACAAAAGGAAACTTGCACGGATTCGTTTTCTTTCATTTTGCTAGTCCTTCTTTTCTACGTCTCGTTAATTTAATTAATTAGTCCTTTTATAGTCAAAGTATTATTTGTGTGATTTTATTTTATTAATTTAATTACTACAGTATTTTTGTAGACAACCATTAGTTTTTGCCACTTCGATTTAATGCAATTCTTTATAACGTATATTTCTTGTTTTATTAATACTGTAATAAAAATTATACAAAAATTACAATAAAGTAAGTACAATAGAAATAATATGTTCATAATTTTAATTAAATGAACGGCTAATTCCTGGAACCTGGTACTTCTGTAAGGCTAGAGATAAAGTTGTGATTCTGTCACTACCTTTTCTAAAGTCATCGTATTATTCTAGTTTCGGCTTTCAATATAACAGAGAAGATAGATTTTTCCACATATTTATCTGTAGATTTACAGTTTAAAGAAGCTGTCTACAACTTTTATGATGTGGAATCATTTTATTTTCAAATATATTTATGAATTTCGGTTGTTTTTTATTATTATATTTAATGTTGACGATACATTATTATACCATAATTATTTTATTAATTAATTATACTGTAGTTACTTTGTTCCTGAATTGAAATTTAAGGAGAGCTACTGTTTTATCTTTAGGAACAGAATATTATTCTTTAACTTCCAGATTATAGCGTTCCAGCTGTTGCTGACAACTAAGCCATGGTTCTGTTTTTGTCCAAAGTCTTGACGTCTCGTCTTCCAAAGTGATAAAAATATGTCTTGATAATTTTTTAAAACTTTGGATACTTGTTTGTTTTTCTTTTTAAGCTATATTTTTGAATGGCTGTTCTAATAATAAAACTCATCTTAATTTCATGATATCACTTTTTAAAAATAATTAATAATATACATGAATAAACAATAAAACCGTAATTTATTTCTCAATTTCTTTGATGTTTATTTCCAATGAATTTAGGATGCAATGAAAATATTGTCTTTCTATAAATAATTCGAAGCAACCTTAAAAACAAAACATAGAATAATTTTGGAGTTATAATTGTAATAGTGTACCCTTATGTTCATATTTATACTTATAGAACCATTTATTCTTTTAATTTTTTCTTAAGAAAAATATCTCCCTTTTAAAATTGCAGTATATTTAGTTTAATCGATTGGTCAGTTAAGGAAATTGCAGCTTAGTTAAACTCCTCGTTATGTTCTCTCTAAACTTGTTATTGGCTGAAGGCTCCTACTAATTTGTTTCTGATTAAAACTGCAGTATAACTTGGTAGACATTTGAGTTCTTAAACGTATGGTAATTGAAATTGCACTTGGCTACACCAATTTTTCTAAAACAACTACCTGCATATTCTCGTCTATTATTCTATTAATGTTTTATTTTATTGTATTAGTCATTCAAAGTTCCTTCATAATTCAAAAGCCGAGTTGGACTCAATTAATTCATACTGCGTACATTCTCTTTCCAATTGCAAGTTTAATAGAGGCATTTAATGTAGGAAACATGTTCTATTACTTTTTATTTTACGAGTTTTGATATAATAGTACGCTTGCTAAGACGCTAATTCTTTTGTTTTCTTTTTAAAAAAATTATCCAGAGTATAAAAGGAATGAGTTATTTTTTGGAGAAAATTCATTACGTTGGTCAATTCTGTTTTGTAATTATTTTATTTCTTATTAAAATGACATTACAACAAAATATATTTTTAACAATTACATTATAATTTTTACTGGGGCGGCTATATATATGTCTATACATGTATATACGTCTTTGAATCATTATATATATACATATTTTATTTAATAATGACAATTAGAGGAATTACTATTGCATTCAACCTTGTTTCAATGAAATTTCAATGAAATGTCATGGAAGAGTCGTAACAATTTTAAAAGTTTTTATTTTGCTTGCATAGAATTAGTTTATGTTTCTGGGTCTAAATTTTACACCACGAATTAAAACGTTTAGTTAAGGCTCCCTTTAATTTCCTAATTAACATAGAGATAAATTATGAAAAAGGATTATATAACATTGAAATTTGTGGTATGTAACTCAGAAGGATCCAAAGGATTATTATGCAAAATTAGTTAGTTTTTTACTTCATAAAGTATTACAATAAAGTCTAGCATACTATCCAGTATTCCACCTTGTCTTTGGTCAACGGATCCATACTAAATATTGACCAATCGCATTCACCAACTCTTTGAAATTTCTCTATACAAACTTAACATTTTAAATTTAAAGTACGGAGTATTTTTAGCTCCACCAATATAACAACTAATTGAAGACAGGATCATTCAGGAAAAACTGAATGAACAGTGAAATCTGACTAAGAAATGTTTTCTTAATGTGGAAAAAGTATTCTTAGAGTTGTATAGTGGGAAATTATAAGAACTTATCGAATAACTTTTCTAATAAAAGAAATTGAGTATTTTTTGATTACTCGGAAGTGGAACATTAAATAGTTTATAATGTCATGCTATAAAAAACTGTAGTGGACGTAGTACATTTGCGGATTACAAAAATATATCTTTACGAGAAAACATTATTTTAATGAAAAGAGATTGTGTATATTACTAAAATTTTAGTAACTATTGCTTTATCACTGCCATAGGCTTCTTAATAGTAGCACGTGAAACGAAAATTTTTATTGTTTTTTTTTTTAATAAATGACAGTGGAATTTAATACAGTTTATTTGTATGAAAAGAGAACAAAGATTTCTTTATGTATATTAGGCATACATTATATTATTTAAATAAACATAATAGACATTACCTTGGCTTTAATTATAACTCAAACCGTGAAGATTCTTCATTGTGCGTAGTGTCACTAATATTGATTAATAGTTATATATTCTTATATTACATTTGAAATAATCAATAATTGATTGTTTCAAAGCATCTACCTTTTTATGATATCTAATAAGGTGAAATAGATCATGAAGAAGTAATAATAAGTCATTTAGTTTCAATAAGTTCAAAGATCATAAAAAGATTGTCTTCGTTTCTTTAAATGTTTTTGTCACCAAAATAATTTTAATGATAGTTGCAAATGATGGTTATATCTTTTATATAGATCTCTTCCAGCAATACATTCTTGTTAGAACATTTAAATTACGGATAAATGTATAGCCATTTTAAGATAAAGAGTACATATTAATAATATTATATTAAATATCGATATAAAAGTAAGTAATAAATGTAATTTCATAATAGGGATAGGTAGTGCTGCTTGTAGTTTGTTTATAAATAGAGAAAAAAAGATGAGGAAGGATTTAGTATTTTTAAAAATATATATTTTCTTCTACCTGGCAATTTCCCGGCTATAGCCAGGGTCTGCCTTATTTGTTGTGAATAGTTTTAGCTAATTGTTTTTTACGACCGGCCGCCTGCCTGACATAACCCTCTTTTGGGAAATCAGCATTAATCAGTGATGTCTAAATATTCTTAGAAAGTACATATGACTCGGAAAAATCACATTGGTACTTGCCCGGGCCAGGATGGAACCCGCGCTCTCGGCAACGAGAGGCGGGCCCTCTAACCATTAGGCCACCACTGACTTAAAAAAAATATATATATATTTTAAATAAACAAAATAAAACAACTATGTATATTATTACTATATTCTAAAGAAATATATTAAAAAGGGGAAAATTTATTAATTTAAAAAATATATTTTAGTGTAATATAAATAAAACAAAGCCTTTAAACATATTTACATATTATTTTTTTCTGTCAAAGGTGGCAAACGAGCAGACGGCCTACTTGGGGTAAGGTAGTACCGCCGCCCATGGACATCCGCAACATGTTTGTTGCAAATGCGTTGCCAACATTGTTTTTTTAGGAATAGGAAGGGGTAGGAATAAGGAAATGGGAGGAAAGGGTGGGAAATAGGAAAAGGGCAACCGGCTCTCTCACTCATCGAACGAAACGCAGCCACTAAAGGCTACTTCACGCCGATCTTCTGTGAGAGGGTGGTACTTCCCCGGTTGAGCCAGCCCATGTTCGGGCTGTAGTAACTTACCACAGTTAGGCTCTACCACCTAAAAAATATATTTATACAAAATTCCATTTAAAATTATTTTAAATCCACGCATAAGTAAGGAGATAAATATTAATCTTAACTTTTATTTTATATCAACACATAATTTTAGATATAAAAAACTAAACTTTTTAAATAGATTAATTTTATAAATATTTGATGAAAAGCTTTTTTGTTCTAATTTGCCTCTAATATATTAAAAAAAAAAATGATTTGTTAGTTGTTACCAGTAGGGAAAGACATGGTTTTAAATATTAAATTTCAATATATTTATTGTCCGTGGTTCTCCTATTTTTCACCATTACATTTGGGTCATCTAATATATATAAACTTTCTACATGTCTATTATAATTTAAATCACATTTTAGACAAAAATGCTGCTGTCAAGAATGTGAAGATAATTCAACAAACTTATATTTTATCTAACACCAACTAAACTCAACTTATTATTTAATTCCATTAATTTCTTTTTATTACTAAGTAAATATTGTTTTTGAAAAAATATACCTTACATTTTTATGTACTTAAGATTTATAAGATCCTCTAACATGTCACAAATAATATTTTTAAAGGATGTCAAATTTTTCAGTCTTGAATTTTCATCACAAACCTTTTTGTTCTCAAAATAATCGTCTTCCAGACCCAGCCATAGTGAAAAACTCATAGCGGCAGTAGCTAAACACATAGGAGCAATAATTTTAATATCTTCATTAAAATCATCTAATGTATAATCTACTTTTAAGTTATGCTTATCAAGGCATAAGCGAAATGTATCCACGTAGGTATCCACAAAGTTTTGGAAGTTTTGACGTCGCTCTTTAGATTGCAAATTTGTCAAAAGTAATATTAGAAAGTCGTAAGCAGGAGATGTTTTCCTACATTTTTGGAAATCCAGTAGACAAATTTCAGTCGGTTTATTATTCTGTAAAATGAGAAATATTAATAAAATTCAACGAAACAAACCAATACTAAGTAATTTGACAAAACCAAGGTTTTTATTAAAACTTACTTCATATTTGAACAAAAAATTTTCTCTCCAATAATCACCATGGCCATAAACGATATGTTTAACTTTCGATGACGCATCATCAACATGTTGTGAGAGATTGGTCACAAGAGAATTTAAATATCCAAAATAGGGAGTACTTTCGAAAATATGAAGATGTCTCTTGATAGACAGCCCAATAAACTGATAATAATCTGGTGGATAGATATTTGAGTATGGATTCATTAAATGATGAGCAGGATCTTTTCCTTTTATATTTAAAACTGTAGACATTGAATGGAAACGTGCTAATGCTTTCAGCGCCAAGGAAATATGATCAGAATCAAGAATTTTGTTCACATATCTTTTATATCCTTTGCAAGTCATATTTTCTAGAACTAGAAACTCTTTATTTGGTTCTAAACTTGCATAATATAATCCCGGTACAACAATGTCTATATCCGATTCTTGTCTCAACATTGGTATGAGAGTCGAGTATGTGAAAGCTTCAACTGTATAGTGATCTCGTATAACTGATTCTAATTTTTCAGTAATATTATACGGTGCTAATTTTACATAAACAGATTTGTATATTTTTTCACCTTTTATGACTCCCACCACAGTAACAGGTATAAGGATACCAAAATAATTTACGAATCTTTCATTCATTTCTTCAGTTTGCACACTCCAAGTTTCAAAGGAAAAATAATCAGCTACATGCTTTACCGCTTCACTTAGAAATTCTTCTGAGATATTCATTTTACCGAAGAGATTTATTAAAAAATCAAAGGATTTAGAAATTATGTTTGATTATTAGAAGCGCAAACACAACTGATTCGGCAGACTCTGTCTCTGTAACGATTTACAAGTTATGTTAAAATAAGTTGGTCTGTATAATGTTATTGTTATATAAATTAGCTGTTGCTAAAACCTTGAAAGTATAATGATAGCATGAAAATCTATTGTTCTTTGATGTATATATACAAGATGTTTTCTTTTCTATGTCTAGAAGTATACATATTTTCAAATATATAAAAAAACTTGTTTTTCCTTTTTGTTATTTATAGAACATTTTAGTATATTTTATTTTTCACTTGCAGTACTCCCAGTGTTATCTGACAAAAATTGTGATCTGTATAGGTAAAGAATATTTAGAATGACATTCGAATAATAAACTCCATGCGCATTAATTGTCATTTATCAAACCATATTTGAGTTATCATTGGACGAAAACGATTTATATCATTTTTAAAAAGTGCTCTTATACGGCTGTACTGCCGATAAACAAACATAGCTTAGAATCTAGGCAAGGAAATTGGCTTTCAAAGTGAAAAAAATAATGAAATGGTCAATCTACATATAACAATTTTGTGAGTCGATTGTTAAAAAGATTGAGAGAAGTAAAAGCCAAACAACCACAAATGGTTCAAATTAAATATTTATTTTTAATAACATAAAAATAATTCAAATAATCACAATTTAAATATTTTACGGAATTACATTTTTTTTTAGTATTTCGAAAACTTACCTAACTAACATTATTTATTTTAAATGCATACTAATTATACAAGTCATCTTTGACTTATTTGCATTGTTTTTTAAATAGTTCTCTACATCATTAATTTTGAAAGCGGTTACCTTTACTTATGACAACAATATATCAAATTGACATTGAAATAGATGGTAGAATTCGATTTACATTTTGCGGACGTAAAGGAGATTATCTATTGTAGTAGTAATGTCTAAATTATTCACTAACCGTAGTCAATACGTCTCAGTAAATATTAATATATCGCTTTGTTCTGACGCCGTAAGTACTTACAATTATATATAACAATATAATAAGACATGTCAAATAAATATAATCGAACAGAATTGAAATTTGTTTATGAATATAAAATGTTATTAATCTTTTATAGAAATATTATTTCTTCTTCCAGTATTAGAGGTTATTGTTATGAAAGTTTATAGAGCTTTCATAATAATGTACTCGTAATTCTATAAATAAAACTGCCATCATTTGTAAATCCTAGGATAAATAGGCTATATTGACTAATAACAGCTGAGACCTTTTAGACTGTTATGTAATATAACCATTGAGCTTGATGATTTGAGAATGATGAAGGTAACAGCTGAATGTTGTCCACCTTGGACCAGAACAGGCGATCCATTTTAGAGAATGCCTGTATCAACAGGACGTGGTTTTGGGCTGATATGATAATTATAATAACTTCTTATAGTAGACATGTATAAATAGCTAATCAACATTAATTCATAAGTGAGTAGATTATATATTGTTTTGATATATTGCAAAATAAAAGTAATATGACAACAATGATATTGGTGCTAAATGGTCACACAAAAAGTCACCTCGAGACGCAGTTGGACTCAAAAAGGCTATTATCTCGCCTTACTATGAAGGTTGAAAAATTTAGTTTTTTTTAAACAAGTTGTGGTAAAAAATAGAAACAATTTTTTTGTCATATACATCAAATTTTCTTAACTATTGTATAAAAAAAATTAACAAGATTTTATACTCAGCTGTTAAGCATCATGATAATGAATTTAGATTCAGGATAGGAGTAATACAATTTGAACGTAGTAAAGATACAAGATTTAATGAAACTTGAAGTATTATATTTTTTTTATCAATATATTTTCTTTTTATATTCTTATTTTGGTAAAAGTACAGTCAAGAGTAAGGAGTAAGTACTATATTAAAAAAAACTAATATTTTACGGATACTTTACAGCAGCCCGTGATCACGGTTGCTATAAAGTAACCAAAACGTCGGGAGTAGGTAGATTTTGATAAAAATAAAAATCGCGTAGTACATCCGAAAACTATTAGTTTTATTTATTATATATTATTTTACTCGCGAAAATCTTAGATCTCATTACTATATTAAAATTTCGTATCAAAGTTATTTTTAAAAAAAAAAAAAATACGCAGATTTATTTACTAAGATTACATATGCAAAGCTCAATAAAAAGCAATTATTTCCGAAAATTATTCCATTCCTCAGACCGTTAAACGCCTTGGGATATTCCACAAATTAATGCAAATCACGTCAGAATTAAGAGCAGTCCTGGAGGTCGGATAGATCAAGGGTACGTTCGTAAATGGAATAACAACTAACACGTATTAGAGTGTGAAACCTTTGAAGGTAAATCTTTGTATTTGGAGTTTTATTTAACATCAAAAGACTAAACTTTTTTGAACTACAACAATTGTACTTAAAATTTAATATTAGAGAAACCACTTTAGAAAATCATGAATGTTTTAACGGTAAACTTTAATTCTTAATAAATGTATGCTGTTACTTAAATTAATTATTGACCTTTTAAGAATCGCTCATTTATTACTACACAGATATTTTAAAGATATGTGCACCATGATTTGTTAATTATAATAAAACGACTATATATTTTTATTAAATCTTAGATTTTCTAGACCTTGTAACCCAAAAATAGGAGTGTTGTATTAATGTCTACGTTAGTACACGCCTGTACTTGGCCGCTTCATTGATATAAGCTGTATATAGTTATCAAAGAGATCTAAGTGTAAAAATTTAGAATTGGTAAGATTGTTTAGTAATTCATATATTTATGTTTTATGGAAGAGTTCATAACTTCAAAAAGTAAAGACTAAAGAAATATAAACTATTTCGAAAACTGTTTTAAAGATTTCCTTTCATGAGTAGTTGCATAAAAACACAAGGCAAAAAAATAAAATACAATCTTGTGTTAGGGTCAGAGATTGATAAAAAAAATAAGGTCTGGGTAATGGACGGAAAACTTTCCAACACATTAGTTCTAAAAAAACAGTATAAAGGTTTGACCCGTCCAAAAAAGCGTGATATTACGTGAAAATTGCCTAATAAATAACTTAAACATAAATGGCTTGTAACTCTGTACTGCAGTATTTTTGATAATATATAATGATACAAGTTAATGATAAATAAGGCATATGAAAATAATGTAATAAAGATATTAAAAGAAATATATTTTTCAAATAGTCATAAGCACATTTCAACATTTTTTAAATCATTGACAAAATTTTCTGACCTCTAGAATCACATTTTTTAGACATTACATCACATTATACCATGACTCCACTTTTTTGTAAAGGCTTGTTTAAGATGTAAAAAATGGTAATTAACTACAAATAAGAAATACATGCATGTGTGTACTATTAATAAGATATATAGAATAAGACATTTAAATATAACAGCTGGTTAAATGTACCAATGCATTGCCTTGTGTAAATGTAGACTGCGGTCTTTATCAATTCGCAACAATTAACAACAGAAGTTTGGTAATACAATTTGGGAATAATTTTAATTAATGAAAAAGTAGCAAAGGGTTTCATTTGTGATTTTTGATGTTACACAGGGCCTATATTGATATATTTAAAGCATTGAATGAAATGTTCATAGCTAGATTCAACGTTGGTTATAGTTGGATTATGTTTGATAACATTTATAAGGGGTACCTGATGTATTTAATATTAAATCTAGGGATATAAAGTTACAGGATTAGGTGCTATTGAAGGTTGTTATGAAAGCTTTTACACCGTAATACGGGGATCTTGGCTGTCAGATCAAAAACACAGGACTCGAGTACCATAAAGTATTCACTGGTTCTTTAAGTAGAATAATTTGAGCAATACCGTCAGTTTTCTGAAATTTGCGAGGGGTTTATTAACAAAACACTAATCGTGGATAGTTCCGCGTGGTAGTCATAAGGTTTAGGATTTACGAGAACAACTTGGCGACTCGTACTACTTAAACATGTGATTATTCTTCTGGCGGTTCGACGTCGATAATAAAAACCAAAAAGATATAGAATTTATTATTCTCTAGCAAAGGATGGATAAAAAATCTTGCTATCAAATAAATGTAGTAAAGAAAGTTGTAAAGTCATATACCTCCTGAAGTTAAATGCCTCCCAAACTGTAGCACATGCATTAAGCCTATTCCTAAAGATAGAAAGGGAAAACACTTCTAGAATATTATAATGAATGACTTAAAAACCACACTGCAATTACACAATCCTGTTGACATGCTCTGATGTATTACTAGACTAACGATTTGATTCAAATGTGATATGGCACAATTAAATTTATAAGACAATTGTCTCCACAATCATGGCGTGTGGTAGGCCAAATTATAGAGAGCAGAGTTTCCTTACATTTTACTCGTGTTGTTGATCCACTCCTTCTTATCAGTTCACTCGATGGGAGGGGTCAATGTGCTTATTTTTGAAAGTAATAGGCTGTAAGTAAGGTAAGTCATTTACTCACAAGGTTTTAAAGTGATCTTACCAAAATTTTAAATAAATATTTAGTGAGGTGAATGCTATAATACAATTTTATAAAAATATCATAAGATACACATCAGAGTCTTTTAGTATTATTCTTATTTCTTTTTTCGATAGTAGTTGTTATACCTTATAAGCCATACATATTATCAAAAACTGTTTAGACTCCTTAAGGTTCATATCAATTTTCTCCTGTGTGATATATATATATATTCTTTTTTGATTATAGCGTAACGAACATATAAAATAATACATTAACAATATAAAGTAAGATTCATCGTAATGTTCAAATATCTTACTTAAAAATATAATGCATCCATTTTAGCTTTTACCAACACAGAATAATTCGTTCCAGGATCGGTATTCTTAGACAAAAATTGCACCTTTACGTTATAAACGGGAGTTAATAGTTTTTATTTCACAAATCTTTTCATTTGT